GTGGTTTTTTTTTTTTTGGGGGGGGGGGGCTGGCAAACCAATTACAAATTTCCAGTGTTAAATGCAAATTTTTTCTTTAACAAAATTATGTCAATATATTGTAATTAAACAATGTTTCACTTTCCTTTTTTTCAAGTTAGATATTTGAATAAAATGATTAACATACTTTCCGGTTTCTCTGGCCTCTACATTAAAAATGTTCTACTTCTAGCAAAGCTCCTGGAAAGGCTGCAAAAAGGGAGAGTGAAGAGAATGAAATTGAAATGTGGACAGTAATGGAGTGAATATGGAATGGTTGATGGTAGTTGATAACGAGTGAATGCAAATGAGTGGCAACAAGTACGACTGAAAGTGAGACAGAAAGGAATTGCAACAGGTTGCTCAGTCAAGAGAACAAACCTTGCAGAAGATAGTTTTCGAAAGACAGAGAAAGAGAGAAAAGGGGAATTATAAAAAAAAAAGGAAAAGGGGGCATGTGTCAAAGGGGCATTTATGAGAAAGGGTTGGGGTTGGGGCTCCTATTAAACAGGGAAAGGGGCACATATCAAAAGGTAAAAGGGCACTTGTTAGAAAGTTTAAGGGGACGCGTGTCAAAGTAAAAAAAAATGAAAGGGCTTTTATCAGATATCACAAGGGGCACTTATGAAAATGGAACAGCATGGAATGGCACTTATTATGAAGTTAAAGGGGCATTTGTTGAAGAAAAAGGGGCACCTGTCAGATTTGAATAGTGGGTAATTATCGCCAGGGCTGTAGCCAGAGTTTGGGGGGGGGGGGCACATACATGTAATTGATCGACGTCCTGGGGAGGGGTCAAAAAGAGTTAAACCGATCTTTGATTTTTTTTTTTCTTCTTTTTTTTCTTCAATGTATGTGAAAGAATGTAGTTTTCTCTCGAGTTTGTCTCATCATGCGTGGGATCTGTGGGTGCTGGGGTTCCTGCAGCAACCCTGTACATGGATTTTCTTCAGTGGGTGCATATAACTCGTGGACTTCACATTGTAAACCTTCAAATGATGAATTATCATCGAGTCCCCCACCCCCCCCCCCTTCCCTCATTATTTTAGAAAGAAACCAAAGAGAACTTTTAAGAGAAAAAGAGAAAGGAAAGGAAAAAATGGTAGCTAGGCCTAAACAAAAACAAGAGGCAAGATAAAAGAAAACAAGATTGAAGATATGGTATCAATATTATCTTGCTCCTTTTCCTTTTTCTTTTGTCTTCTTTTCATTTCAATTTTCTTGCAATTTATTTCTTTCTTCCTTGGTATCTATTCCGTATTCTTTATTTCTTCCATTCATTTATTATTTATATATATTTTACTTTTTAACTTTGTTATTCTTCTTTCTAATCCCATTTTTCTTTCTTCCTTTTCTTCCTTATGCAGTTAAGTGAGCACTGATCATAGAAATAATTTAAGTGCAATACACAAGTATTTTATTTTTGATAAATGTCTGTATGTAGGCCTATTCTTGTTATCTATTTTATACAGTTTATAATACTGTATCACATATTCAATACCATAATGCAACCTCTGCTTGTAATATTTAAAAAGCAAACCTAGAACTGATTATTTACCAATTCATGACAAGAACTAGACTCCCATTAATCTCAGAAAAGTAGGCCTAGGCTACTCACAAATTGCCTATCAAGACTCTTACTTGAAATATGTGCTATATATCTTGTCTACCGATACTGACATTTTGGCATTTACTAGTAACACAGCATTTATGACTGTATTATCTAAATGACCATGACATTGCTTTTCTATGTCATATTATAGGCCTGCCATTAATCCAACGTACTTGTTACACACGATATTCGATGCTGCGCATGCCTCGATCATACATGAATATTCAAGAGAATCGAGACTTTCCCCGGCCCTGCCTAATGAATATTCATGATAAAACAGGAATCCGGGCTCGCCGTGGTACGAAAAAATAAGACGCTCCCCGGCCCTGCCTAATGAATATTCATGATAAAACAGGAATCCGGGCTCGCCGTGGTACGAAAAAATAAGACGCTAGCCGGTCACTAATAATTGCTCAGATATGTTATAACTATTCCTTTTGGATGGTATGGATGAATCATGGAAATTACTCTTCTATATACAAGAAAAATATTAGTACATGGTGATTCCCTTGTCAATGCCCCAGCATTATACCCCCAAAAGAGGACCCGCCAAATTATATTTAAAAAAAAACAACAAAAACACAATTAACCTCATATGAGCTGATCTCTCGACCCCGAATATATATATAGCAAAGTTGCATCCGTAGCCTCTGATCAAATTATTCATTGATATCTTTGGCTCCTGTCGGCCATGTTGGATAAAAGGTATATAGAAAAGGCTGATCAAAAGTTTTGTTTTGACGTTTCACTACGCTTATTGAAAATAAATTCAACAACAAGATATAATAATAGATATAGCAACAAACTGGTACTAATAAATAATATTATCTTATCATTGTTCTCCACAGAGGGCAAATGTGGCAAACCTAAAAATGGTACAAAGACAAGGCCTGTTGACATCACTGAAGCATCCATTGGGGATAAATACTATTACCTCTGCATAACTAACTATAATTACAATGGCAGTGCGAAGTTTGAAGTTGAATGTATTGCTACTTCAGCCGGAGCTGACTGGTCGCATGGAGAGATCGGCCCTGTTTGCATATACTCCCCCAATTATGAAGAGTAAAATTAGTTTTGCCACACCGTTGCCGCATAGTCTTTATCATGGATATTCATAGAAAAGGCTATCATAATTATAGCTCCGTTTAGTGTCATTTGAGAACTCCCCCTATCGATAGAGTCAGCAGCCTAACATGTTAGCCTATCGACGTTTACAAAAAATAATCGTTAAAAATTCATATTTTTTTTTGTTTAAACGAAATGCACATCCACCCGACGTCCGTTATCACTAGCTCTTTAATTGGAACCTTAATGTCTCATTGACTTTTGAAAGTTCACCCACCGTAATTTTATCAAAATAGGTTGCAAGCTCGTCATTGCTTATAATACACATGTGAAACAAGTCGAACTTTGGACTCAGTCTGCCAAGCGATTGTAAGATTATAGGTCAAGCGCACAAAGGATAAGAAGCATGAATTATCATAGATCACTTCTGCTTGGTTCATTATGTCCATTTAATCCTTCCCCCCCCCCACCGTAATTTTTCCATTTAGTAAAAGCAAACATTTTGCCGAGGTAAGCAAAAACATGAATATTCATGCGCATGAACTATTCGATTATTTACAGAAGGGTGCAATTGTGCACCACAACAAACTCCCCTACCTTAAGTCAAGTATTTCATTGTAGTATGTAGTTTGGTAGGTTTATTTCAATAACTGTTTAATTATCAGATATCAATGATAGTTTAAAGATATGGAATTGGTTTCAATAGGAATACAAATTTTCCAGTTGAAATCAATGGCCTTAACCGGAAAAAGTTGGGAAGATGTGTCAATTCCAGTTCAAACCAATTGGAGATTGCAACTGGATCCAGATGAATCTTGCATTTAACTGGTTCTAGTTAGAAGTGCAACTGGAACCAGTAAGATAATGTTTCCAGTTACTCAATTTATTCCAGTTAGAAGGCCATTTCCATTTTACCCAACTAGTTCCAGTTAGAAGTGCAACTGGAACCAGTAAGATTATTTCCAGTTACCCAATTGGTTCCGGTTAGAAGGCCGTTAAATTCTAGTTAGAAGTGCAACTGGAACCAATAAGAACATTTCCAGTTTAATACCTAAATTGGTTCCAAGACAATAATACATTTTTTGTGGCAAAAATACGTCTGTATGTTTTGCTGTGCTCAATTCTTTTTTTTTTTAAGTTCCGAGTTTGCGCTATTTGCTATTTGCACGATCCTAAAATGCATTAAATCATATATTGATATCTTTGAGACCTGTTGGCCATCTTGGCTAGAACGTTGAAAATGCCGTGTTTTTTATGGTAGGATTATAATGTTTAGTAGCCTGTTGAAAATGCTTTCAAAAAAGTTGTGTTGATAAACCAGTGTTTCTAAAATGTTGTGCCTGTGAAGTACCTTACCATAATTTTTTCTTTATATATATATATATATATATATATATATATATAATGTTTATCATTGTCAAAGTGTTTGATTTGTACGATCATTCAGTTTCAGTTTTTCAATTTTGTTTTTTCATTTCCAACAGAACAGTGATTTTGACAAGAAATCAGATATACAATTCAATATTCAATGATATAATACCTTTTACATGGTTTAAAGTTACTTATGAAATAGAAAGTAGGGTAAACATAAATATCCAGTAATACTTATTTTTTTATTTTGTAAATTAAACCTGTGGAAATGGAGGGATCCACTGAAAAGCAAAGCTTGTAAAATGTGGATCCCTCAATATTGACATACATAATTTTTGTAACATGTAAATATATTGACTTGAAGACAAAAAAATATACATAGATTACCAAATAGTGGCAGGATAATAATGCACGTATAAATCCGTAATTTGACAACTTGTTATGACACATATATATAGTATATAGTGAACACTGGAAAGGTCAAAAGAGACAATGAAGACTGACAGATAAGACATACACATATCATTTTAAAAAATACATAAATAACAGAAAATAAAGCAAGGAAAGAGAGAAATGCAAGGATAGAAAATATTGCAGCAAATGTGAAGAGTAAAGAAAAAGAGAGCAGAGGTGGATAAGAGAAGAAAGGAGAGTGATATCCCCTTTTCTATTCTTCTTCCTCTTTTGTCCTTCCCTTTATCTCCTCTTTTTCTTTTTTATTTCCCTTTCCTTCCTTCTCTTTTATTTTTTGAATTGGGGGGGGGGGGAGGGGGAGGCAACAGCCTGAGAGGCAAGTCCTTTTGCCCCCCCCCCCCCCGATCTCCTTCCCTCTTTTCTTTTCTTCTTCCTCTCCTTTTTTCCCTTTTCTCTTTTTCCATTTCCCTTCTTTTCCTTTCTCTCTCTCTCCTTTTTTTTTGGGGGGGGGGGGGGCGGGGGGGGGGGGCCCCAAGGCTCGCTTGCCCCCCCCCCCCTGGATCCGCGCCTGGGTCTATGTAAATCGAGTAGATCGTCATCGGTGAGGGAATTAAAAGCCATCTGATCGTTCAGATCAGCCATATGGGGTTTAGAAGCAGTAGCTGAAAAGAAAAAAGCGCATAAAGTATAAAATAAAATAAACCATTGGTGGTTTTCTTAGTATGCAGGTGCAGAAGAAATGAGATAAGGAAATAAAGGAAGACGGGACAAACATATGCAGCAAGACGAATAATAGAAACAACTGACAAACACAGACACAAAGAATCATACAAGGGCACAGTAAAAGAATCTTTTGACATGACAAAAACAAATCGCAGAAATAGTTTAAGTATGCTTACATACCATGTGATTTGTGATATTTGAATATATGGTGTTTAGCAATATGATGTAACTTGTGCAGTTAAAAGAAAGAAAAAGGATATAATATCAATTAATTCTTCTGAAAGTTGTGTAATGTCTCAAGTCAGATATTGTGCAGACTCTTGTTGCATTGTTCAAATTATATTTCTTAAATTTGATATACTGTATATAGCTTTTTTTTATCCAATGATTATTTATCCTATGGAGATCCTAATATCAATTCTAATTAATGATCCTGTAAATTGCTATATAACGGGATGATTTTCATGGTCATGCGTCATGTGATCAGGTTTTACACACATTCATTCTTATGAATATTTAGTTAATATTATCTTTGTTCGCATGCGCGGAGTTGCTGCATACAAAAATATTTAGTATTTGATCGCTTTTTGATCCGTTCGTAGCTTGTTTAACATTTATGTATGCATTTTATTCATCATATGTTCTTATTCTAATGTTGATCGTAATCTGTTTTAATTATCGATATTCATCGTTCTGTACAAAAATCATGTGCACATATGTTCTTCTCCTACTTTCTGTTTACATGCCTAAGTTTCTGTCTGTTTGTCTTGCATTCTTGGTAGCCTAAGAAGTACATTTATATTGATGTCTAAAGAATAAGAGTTTAAAATTGGGAACTTAGAAGAAACATATTTGGTCTTTAGTTTAATGATAGAAATGTTTGTGTAATTTGAGGGTTTTTCTAGTGTCTGACAGTGAAGTCTATAGAAAGTAAACAGGTTTCCTTGCATAATTTGAATACTAGGACACTGCTAACCCAATAAACAGAACACCAAAAAGTAACCTCTTTTGAGAGTGTATTTTAAGTGATTTTAAAGTATAGTGCCTTTTGAACTAGATTTAAACGTTATCGACACGTGCCTTCATTTAAACAAAAAAGGTACTCCTGTTCACGTTTTCATCTAACCTAAAAACCACCAGTTTATCACGCGACTGCAGTAACGTGATTCCACTTACCTCTGTAAATCAAGTGTTTATGACCAAATAACCACTTGACCAAGCAACGAGTTTTTTGTCAGTTAACCGATGGTGGCGATAAATACGTAATTATTTGGTCTTGTAAGCACCTTTATTGATTGGTTTCACAGGTTATCCAAGGTTGATGGTAATAATCACGTTACTTACACCGGCTAATCGTCTTATTGTTCTGTCCGTGAATCTCTGGTTATATTCAACTAGTAATTCTGAGGTGTCTTACACACCTCTTCAAAAGGATTCAAAGTTACCATAAATTTCTTGGTTATGATCACGTGGCTCAAGCTGATTACTAATCTAAGCTGTGAAAACGTGATATGTAGGTGTGAAAATTAGTAATTATTAAGTGTTTTAAAACACCTTTTTAAATGGTAGTCAAAGTTGCCATAAGTTCCGCGGTGATGATCTCGTGACTCAAACGGATTATTGATCTAAGCTTGTCATACGTGACTTTTAGGAGTGAAAATTAGTCATTATTAGGTGTCTTAAAACACCTATTTAAATGGTTTCAAAGTTACCATAACTTTCTTGGTGATGATCACGTAGTTAAAACTGATTATTAATCTAAGCTGTAAATTCGTGATATTTAGGTGTGAAAAATTAGTCATTATTAGGTGTATTAAAACATCTATTTAAATGGAAGTCAAAGTTGCCATAAGTTCCGCGGTGATGATCGCGTGACTCAAACGGATTATTAATATAAGCTGGGTATTCCGTGTTTTCCATGTGTGAAAATGAGTTATTCTTGGGTGTCTTGATGGTTTCACAGTTACTATTTAAGTTCCGTGGTGATAATCCCGTGACTGTTGGCATATTTCTGGTAACCCGACACATGCTCCGCCGACGATTGCTCCGCCGACATTTACTCCGCAAAACGCGACAATTGCTCCGCGACATTTGCTCCGCGACATTTGCTCCGACGTCAAATGCTCCGCCGACAGTTGCTCCGCCGACAGTTGCTCCGCCGACAGTTGCTCCGCCGACAATTGCTCCGCCGACAGATGCTCCGCCGACAATTGCTCCGCCGACAATTGCTCCGCCGACAATTGCTCCGCCGTCAATTGCTCCGCAAAACGCGACAATTGCTCCGCCGACATTTGCTCCGCCTGAAGCGACACTTGCTCCGCCGACATTTGCTCCGCCGACAATTGCTCCGCCGACAATTGCTCCGCCTGAAGCGACAATTGCTCCGCCGACATTTGCTCCACCGACATTTGCTCCGCCGACAATTGCTCCGCCGACAATTGCTCCGCCTGAAGCGACAATTGCTCCGCCTGAAGCGACAATTGCTCCGACGACATTTGCTCCGCCCAAAAAGTGTCCCATAAACTACAAATGCTACTAGTACTACGACAAATGCTTCGCCGACAATATTTTCTTTACATCTATTTTTTTCGTTTCTTTTTTTTCTTCTTCATTTTCTGAATGCATTTCTTGAAATAATGTAGATGAAATGAAAAGAATGAATGTTGATGAAGTGGGAGGAAAAAGGAGTTACCTAAAAGTCATTTCGAATATACTGAAATAACTTTCCATCTATCACTGTACGTCCCATATAATGTATACTAAACACTCATTACATGTCGTGGGAAGTTTTTTAAAAAAGTAGAGCAGCAAGCCACATTCCCCAATACGCGCATACCTCCTAGTTAATTTCAAGTAGCTCATCAATATGTAATACCTGAAATTACCTCGATCAATGCATCTTACTAGGTAAAGCATTGTACAATGTAATAGGTCATCATGGAAGTTTAGAAAATAAGTAAGGGGGATTTACCAAGTGTTGATCTTTTTAAGAGTTTTATAAAGAAACAAAAAGATATTGAATATTTCTCAGCGAAAAAAAGGAACAAGCTTGTTTCGCATTTTAAGAAATGGCGATTTGACTTATGATACTCATGTTGATTTAACTTTTATTCCTGTGCCCCCTCACTCCCCTTTATGCACTGGAGTTCAAACTATGATTTATATGTGTACAGTGTATTTTTTTTTTTTACTATAATGTTTTTTTTTTATAACTTTCTTGTCCTTTCATTATTGTTAGTTGTTCTTATACATATTGGTTTTTTTGTTTGTCTAATTATTACCAATGACTTGTAAATATGTAATTTTTATATGATTGAAAATTTAATAAACACACAAATATAAAAAAAAAAAGTTTAGAAAATAAGGGCACTTATATACGTAAGGAAGGGAACCCATTCAGACGGGAAAATGAGATGGCAGCCTTTCTGCTTATTCACATTTATACAAATCATTTTGTTGCAGTTTGATGTTAGTTCTTCATGATAAGCCAATTGCTCTTCTTCCGGTGGCTTCGTGAGTCCCTTAAATTATTTAGTGAAAACAAAGTACTCGAATGAAACGGAGTGTTTTGCACACTAACATATATATATTAAAGCTACATACACTTAACTAAAGGAAAGAAACCTTTAGGAAATGGACTGGATATTATTGAAAATATTATTCTAAACAAGAATGTACTACATGATTGTATTACTTTACGTTTCAATTTCACGAGAGAAATAGAACTCGAGAGGGGGAGCAGAGAAGAAGTGATGGAAATGAAAGAAGACTAATAGCATGAGAGGAAAGAAAAGAGCAAAGAAGACAAGAAAACGGTGTAAACAGGAAAAGGAGGAGCATGGGAGAGAGAGAAATAGAGAGAGAGAGAGAGAGAGATAGCCTTGAGCTTTGGATCAGCTAATGAGTAATACATGAAACAGATTTTGAGCGGAGTAATTATCTTTCGCCGGAGAACTTGCGTAAGGAGCAATAATTTTATTTTTTATTTTTTTAAATCAAACATTATGGGGAATAGCAAAAAACGGTTGTCTTTTTTGCTCTTTTCTTTCCTCTCATGTTATTAGTCTTCTTTCATTGAGGTAATTTCAGGTCTTACATATTGATGAGCTGTTTGAAATTAACTAGGAGGTATGCGCGTATTGGGGAATGTGGCTTGCTGCTCTACTTTAAAAAAAAAAACTTCCCATGACATGTAATGAGTGTTTAGTGTACATTATGTGGGACGTGCAGTGATAGATGGAAAGTTATTTCAGTATATTCGAAATGACTTTTAGGCAACTGCTTTTTCCTCCCACATTATCAACATTCATTCATTTCATTTCATTTACATAATGTCATGAAATGCATTCAAAAAATGAAGAAAAAAAGAAAGAAACAAAAACAACCCGTGAAAAAAAAAATATTGTCGGCGAAGCATTTGTCGTAGTACTAGTAGCATTTGTATTTAATGGGACACTTTTTGGGCGGAGCAAATGTCGTCGGAGCAAATGTCACCGGAGCAAGTGTCGCTTCATGCGGAGCAAATGTCGTCGGAGCAATTGTCGGCGGAGCAAATGTCACCGGAGCAATTGTCGCTTCAGGCGGAGCAATCGTCGGCGGAGCAATTGTCGACGGAGCAATTGACGGCGGAGCAATTGTCGGCGGAGCAAATGTCGGCGGAGCAAATGTCGGCGGAGCAAATGTCGGCGGAGCAAATGTCGGCGGAGCAAGTGTCGCTTCAGGCGGAGCAAATGTCGGCGGAGCAAATGTCGGCGGAGCAATTGTCGCGTTTTGCGGAGCAATTGACGGCGGAGCAATTGTCGGCGGAGCAATTGTCGGAGGAGCAATTGTCGGCGGAGCATCTGTCGGCGGAGCAATTGTCGGCGGAGCAACTGTCGGCGGAGCAACTGTCGGCGGAGCACCTGTCGGCGGAGCATTTGACGTCGGAGCAAATGTCGCG